CCGGCGCACTGTTTCCGGTGTCTACTGAATGCTCATAAATGGTGCAACATCCTACTGGCCGTGCCTTGGTAGGTAATACCGCCTTGGCCTTGTAAAATATTTTCTTCAATGCCTGTTTATCTGGGCAAATGTCACCAACTTTAATTTTGGAAAATGTTTCCTCTGTTTCAGCGTCAACTACGTTATCTAACAGTGGACTTTGTGCCTGCATCGCCCGACATTCACAGCGTTTATCCTGCACCGGAAGTCCATTATTGTCTCGCTCAATACGGCAAAACTCGTCATGATAGTTTTCATTATATTCCGGAGTGTTCATTTGGTACACTTCCTCTACGGCAACGATACTACCCAGGTTAGTATCTTTATTCAAAATTAGCTGTTTGTCCGATACGTTCATAACGCAAAGTCGGCAGTTTCCTTTGTCATTTAATGATACAACGCCGTCAAACAACAAAGCATTCTTATTATTTTCTGGGATTTTCCCTTCATACAAATATGGCTTCTCTTGCAGGTTTGCCCGGTTGAAGCGCCACAGGCTTTCCGGTGATAATTCAGTTGTTGCCCGAATAATTCCCTGACTGTGCGGTTGAATCACTATTGGCTGGGCAGGAAATAATTCCATCTTAAAGAATTCTATTGGACCAACTTCCGGTTGTACATTATAAATTTCGTCTAAGTCCGAAGGAAACATTTCCTGCATCATTTCCCGCGTATCTTGCATTAATACAGGCTGGTACATGTCGTGCTCAGTCATATTCATTTCCGCTTGTTGTCGGTGTGCCTCTCGAAATGCTAACTCAATTCCATTCCGCGTATATACGCACGCCGGAATTTCTACAGATTCCCGAGCATCCTGTGATCTCTTGGGCAAACTGTATATCACATTCTGCTGTGGTTGGCTCTCCATGGCCATCTGTGCCACAGTTTGCTGTTGTAATAGCTGCCGTTTCCACCGGCGGCTCGCACCTGATTTTCTTCTTCGTGTGGGAATGAACCCCATGCCTTCCGTTTGAGATTCACTCTCTCCCGTGTATCCATACACTGGTTTATCTGCAAATTGTTCTAGAGGAGGGATAACCGCATTACTTTGTTGAATTTGGTTCCATATCCGGTGCTGTTCTTCAATACTGACATCCGCCACTGCGGCCTGATTTAATTGAACATCGGGGTTGCAGAAATCTGGGATCTTTTTCTTCTGTCCGTGATACGCCACTGACGGATTCTGCACTGCGCCCGTGTACACGACCGTATCATTCGTATGTACCCGTGGCCGTAGCCGCACTCCGGAGACGTCCAAACCGAACGGTAATTTTGATAGCGCTTGGTCTCGCGTAAATTGCTGCTTCTCCGCCTGTCTATCCTCGTAGGAGACTGGTACATGTCCCATGTCAATTGGCGACATACTCGGTTCTGGAATAAACCTTCCGTTTTCGAAGTCACCTGCCGGAGCGGGATTTTCCGGTGAGAATGTAACTTTCTTCTTTTCTGGCTCAGCTAACCGTTCCTTCCGGTGAGTAATTGTAAACTGCTGCCGGAAATTAACTGAATTACGGCATACTTCACACTCTTTTTCATACTCTTCAATCTGGATAATGATATCCGGCCAGTAAAACATTTTTACGAGATACGGATATAATTTTTCGCGTGGTCCGTATACTTGATTATGTATCAATATCTCGTGAAATTTAGCGATTAACTTGTCCCGCCACTGGAATGGGACATATATACGTGGGCACTGCCCGTCATGATCAGGGACGCGGCAAATCAAGCCTTCAAACGTAAGCATCCGGTTTAATTCATTCTTCAAGTAATTCGTATTCGCATTTTGCGGGTTATTTAGAAACTTCAGCCACATCCGGCTATCCATACAATTTTGTTGCTCTTTTTTCCAGAACTCAACATCTCTGAATTCCTTTTCCGTCGGGAATCTGTCCTTGTCCTGCGGCCGGGTTAACGGCATCATCCATTTCATCAATTCTGGATTTCGCGCCAAGCGGTGCGGGTATTCCCGTTCGTGCACTTCGTCAACGTGCTGGTGATTGAAGTCGATCGGTACAACATTTAGCACCTTTGTACTAAATACTACACACTCAACTGTTTTGTTTGATTTTTTAGGAAACCCCGCGAACGTATAATGTTCGTCCGGTACCATTCTCAATAATGCTGCCAACGTGGAAAGTGATTTCACCGGAGGTTTATTGTCACCCCCACAAACTTGACTAGGATCTATCGCAAGACATCGTCCACTTTTAATCGCCGTTTCATTTGGATTATTCACGCACCGTGACGGTAGCGGAAATTGTTCACTTTCCTTTCTAATTCGTTCCTCCTGGAAGTTTTGCTGTGGCACACCACCTCCCCCACAAACTTGACTTGGACCGGAGGTTACTTCCATTGTCGGTACGACAGCTTCCGTCTTCTTTTGTTGTTTTGGCTTCACATAGCCCCTCACTGCTTCGTGTACAGCTTCCTCCAGGAATTCTTTGTCACGTTTGTCTGAGCCCGGCAACATTGGCTTCGGTGCCGGCGGCGGCGTCCGTACTGCGGTGACCACTGGATTCTCTGGTTTTGGAGGGCGTGGCCATTCTTCTTTTGCCCGTTGCAAATGCATAAGGCATATTTCCGGTTTCGCTTTTGCAAGTATCAGGTGAGCCGATTCATATGGTACAAACTGAGCTTCTTTTGCTACACCTATTCTTTCCGTTAACATCAGCGCCGGTATCGACGGCGACTGCTTAACTCCTGGCGGCAGCAATGGGTCAAAATGATGTGACCGTATGATGTCCGCCATATGATGCATTCGGCGCGGATACCAATCCGGTGCACTGGGATGACGACGTGAGAGTCTCCAAGTCATCGTGCTCATATCCAGAATAAACGGCTTTGTTGCTAGGAAGTCGAGACCGAGCACAATGTGATCCCGATCAAACATGGTGCTGACCAGTAAGGCGTGTTCAAACGCTGTTCCGAACTCGTGTATGGTGACTACCACCGACATCGGCTCAATTACTTGGCGCCCTTGATACGCCGTGTGCACCACTCTTCCCTGAATGTGATCCGGACACCGGTGAATTTTTAAATTCATGTCCTTTGCCATTTTATAGGACATTACAGAAATGCTCGAGCCGGTGTCGATCATAGTTTTAACTTTTTTGTAATTGACATCAATTACAGAGTACCAAGCCTGTGCGTCCAGCGTCGGCATTAAACAGACGTGATCTGCTAACGGGTATTGTTCTATATCCACTACTTCTGCCGAATTACACTGGATCGGAGAGATTTCCAGACCCGCAGGTAAATCAAGATCCATCATATTCATTTGTAGGCCGTTTGCCCTGTTCAAAATTTCCGGTGTCGGCTCGTACAACCTGGGTAATGCTAACGGGTTTCTGCACGAGTTCGCAGTGTGTATTCCGTGGCAACGGTAGCAAATCTCGATGCCCCGTGTGGTTGCCCATTTTTCCCTAACAACATTTCTCTCATCAAACGGAATTTCTTCTACCTGATTAGACTGTGGAAAATTTTGCCGGTTATTATTATTATTATACTGCGGACGAAAATTATTATTATTATTTTGTGGGCGATAATTATTATTATTATTCCCACCCCGATGATAATTATTATTTCCGCGATAATTATTTCCATAATTATTTGGCCGGAAGTTGCCCTGATTATAGCCATTATTATTATTTACAGGTCCGTTTGGCCGGAAATTCTGAAAATTCTGCATTGGCGGAAGCGGCTGCTGTACTTGCTGCGCAGGCGGCGGAGCCGGAGCCTGCACCTGTGGCTGTATCTGAGGCTGGATTATCGGCGGCGGAGGAAATGCCTGGGCGTACTGCACTGGCTGCATCTCCATCACTTGCGGCTGCTGATATACCGGATACGGTATGTACTGTACTTGTTGCTGAGGTACATTCGGAACGGAAATAGGCTGCGCCGGCGATGGCGGCGGCGGCGTCTGATTTCCGGTCTGTACATTCTGGTAATTCCCCGAGCCGTAGTACGGCTTAGAATATCCTCCGCGATTATTATAAAAGTTTCCACGATTCCCCCGTGACGAATAATAATTTCCGCGTGACTGGTATTCACCGCGACTGGTACGGTTTTCTGCTTCAACATTACTGCCCGCACTCCGCGGTTCCCGAATTGTCACGCGCTGACGCGGCTCGTCTTCCTTCCTTTCATCGTCCAAAATTTTCTGTAGTTTCTCGCAGTCCTGAAGCTGTGCTTCGAACTCTGCATACGTTTCCGGTCTGTCTCTGTAAATGGTTCTGTACCACTCTTTCCTGTTCTTTTTCAGGCCTTCCAAGAGAATTTCCACTTTTTCTTCCTCCTGTACTTTTAATTCTTTAAACCAGATAAGGAAACTGTCCATGTATGTCCGGACGGCTTCATCCCTTTGGCAATGACGATTGTTCATTGCTCTTCGCATTTCCGCTTTGGATGATGCACCGTTAAAGTGCTTAATTATGGCCGGTTTGAAAAATTCTGGCCATGTCTTTGTTTTATTGTCTTTATAGAGATCCGCAAACCATACATAGGACGGTCCTTTTAACGCACCGGAAATCGCGCGACAAGTCTGCTTGTCGTTCCAGCCGTTTGTGGTACGACACTGATCGACGGATATCACCCACTGCTGGATACGCTCAGGCCGGGTGTCATCAAAATTCTGGAGTTTCATCCCGGACTCATTCCTCTCTGTGCCCCTTTCCGTTAACCTCTCCAGAATGTCTGCGATTTTATCGTCGCGCTCTGATTGTCGTACTTCTCGAGGATCCTGAAGGATAATTCTGTGGGACGATCGAGACGACGTCGATCCCGTCGCACTAGGCGGACCGCTTTGTTCATCATCCTCGCTATCGTCATCACGTTCTGTTTCCTCATCCGATTCAATCTTACGGCTATTTTTCTTCTTCTTCTGTTCTGTTTCGATAGTGTGCTTCTGCAACACTTCCTTCCGTAATCCCGGTTTTGACGTTTTCTTTAACTTAATAAAATTGTCTTTTATTTCAGGCCTTTCTGCTGCCTTATCCTGACGGATTACCGGCTTCAGCGACGGAGCTGCACTCGCTTCCCGCTGTGTATGTGAAGAATTTGGATCAGAAGGGGTGAATGTCTGATGATCGTAGCGATCATTTCCGGGCGGAGCAACTGTGTCTCCCGCGCTCACCGGTGCTTCCGGTTCAAAGTGAACTTCTCGGACCTGATTGCGGTAGTGTTGCACTTCCTCCTGCAACTCTGCATAAGCTGCCTCGTTATTGTGTAAATGCTGCTGCAGATTATATATGGCGACTCTGCATTGATCACCTTCCGCTCGAAGACGATCCGCTTCCGTTTGGCGCAGGTAAGCAACAGCTTGTGCTTCCTTTACCTCTTTTTCCGCCTGTGAACATTTATTACACGGCTTTTCCAACTGGCGCTCCTTTCTTAACTTTTCGCTTTCCGCCTTTGCATTAGCTAGTTCAACTTTATACTGTTCAATTGTGGACAGCAACGTTTCTTCCCTATCTTTAGAGACAGCTGACGTTGCTGCTCTAGTCGATTGTAAATATAATTCATTTTGGGATTTTACCATGGCCAGTTCTTCCTGTAACTGTGCTACATAATCGGCATTCGGATTAATTCTTTTTTGTTCTTCTGCCAACTGCCTCCGCAACTTTTCCAATTCATTATACTCCGAACTACTTCTTTTCTGTAGTTCCACATATGCGTCTCTCTGTTGCTGCAGTTCCCTGCGCAATGTATTTGCCTGTTCTGCTAATCTGTGGTTCTGTTTCTGCAGGTCGGCGTCGGCCTGCTGATTAACATTTGACTGCCGGGATGCTTTCAACGCATCATACTCCCGCCGGAGCTCCTCTGTGGCATTTTCCAAATTGCGATTATCGTCTTTTAACTGGTTAAGTTCATCCAGTAACTTTTCATATTCCCGTTTATCTTCCTCCGATTTTTGTCGGTAATTTAGAATACTTTCATTTAATGCTTTATTCCGGTAAAGTGCGGTATCCCGCTCTTTACTAACCATTTCACACTTTTTCCGCATTTCATTGAACTCATTTTGAAATTTTAATTTTGTGTTCTTCTCCTCCTGCAGGAGCTGATCCATTCGCTTTGATTCACCGATGGAATCAAGCTTTGCTTTTGATTGAGCCACTATTCTCCGTATTCCTCTGAATAGGAACGGAAGTGACTCACGCGCAATTTTCTCCAAATCCTTTTCTGTTACTGCCGTGGCCAACCTATCATCAACGCTGGCGGCCTGTTCCATGAATTCATCATCAGTGAATTCAAAATCTTTATCCGTTATGTACTGCTGCAATCCCAACTGGGATGCATGAAATGTGGAATCACCTGTGCGAACTATCCTCATCCTTGGTAAGTCAGACACTTCTTCCAGTTTACTGGTCGGTGATTCATAATTAGATGAATGATCGTCCTCCGTTTCCATCATTGCTTCATTGAAGTCAATAAGACTTCCGCCCGATATAGGCTCGTTTAGATTCTCAGGCTGAGAGGGCGCCTCTTTTGGTGCCGGCTTCTCTTCCTGATTTACTGCTGTGTTGACAACCTTTTCCTGTGCGGATCGGGTTTGTCTTTCCGTTTCCTGTGGCGTAGCTTTGCGCTGCGCCACAGCCTCTGTTTGTTTCCTTGCCTCAATTTCTTTCAAAAATTCAGGCATCTTTTCCCGTGCGCGGGCAACTGCTGCCTTAAACTGTTCATCCGACACGTATTCTTTTATATACGGTTCCGGAATGCACCGGTCTGTCGTAAGCCAATTTGGGTAATAATTAGGACGTCGCCTCTGGTATTGTGGATGTAGTGGATCTTCCTGAAATTTGACCCACGACTTCCCGCAGTACGGTACCTCAGGCACTTCGATACCCAGTTCCCTGTACAGCAATTCCAGAGCGATTTCCTCTGCGTTAAATTTGAATCTCTTTTGTTGAGATGCATCGTACGGTCCTTTCATATACAAAGCAAGAATGTTCGGGTCAATCTTTGTGATCGCCCTCGAACTTTTCTTCCCTGAATCTGCCATACTGTAGTTTTACTGGTCGTTAACCTTTGCGGTTAATCTACCCAAGTAAACTACTTATTTCTTATTTATTCTATTTCCGGCGATTGTGCCAGAAATACAGCAGTGCTTTTGCCGCCTTATATCCGCTCCCGATTCTCCTTTTAGGTTTGAAACGGTATGCAGGATAATTCCCTATGCTGTGGGAAACCTTTGTGGTTTCTACCACAGTTTAATTTTTACTTTCCCTACTGTTGCAGGTCAGTCACCGACTACCTGGTTTGTTTACGTTTTAGCTGCCAGCTACCGCTAGCTGCTGATCTGGCTACCGATTTGGCGCCTTTTGTTCTGCACTGCTGAAGATTTTATCTAGGCTGGCCAATTACAATGGCTTTAGCCCTGATGCTATCTACAGCTACTGCTTACTACAGGCCAGGCACACTGACACTGCAACTACACCTTATTCACCGCGGTCACTGCTTTGCGCAGACAACCCGGAAATTACCCACTTTCTGCTTTCCGCAAAAAGCACTGTAGCCGACCTTTAAGGTTTCGACTACTAATTATTACCACCGCAATTTTGGTCCGAATTTAATTCAATTATTAAATTACTGGGCGAGGAAGCTCAACCCGGTGTGGAAGCACACCAATTTAGCGAGGAAGCTCGCTTAAAAACAAAAACCCTAGGCCAGATCAGGAACGCTGACCTCCTTCGGCGCACCTTTCGGTTCGACGCCTTTCTCGGACCATCAACACTTCTCACAAAAACACCATCCAATTTCCATCCGTAATTTACTGTAATATCAGGGAAATTACGAGACACCCGGTGGGCGCCATGTCGTATTGCTCGATCCTGCTATTGACAGTCAGTTCGGTACGGTATATCCGGTGGATGCCCTGTACGAAACGGATTGTAGATCTGCTCCCTGCCTTAATGCCCAGTCGGTAGAACAACTCTTAAATCATCTGTTACAGTAAATCGGACGGAAATGGATAATTCTGGAACACGTAGAATCAGGAATCCCTAAGCAATTGTGCTGAATACTCCTAACTTCCGGTCGATACACATGAGGGTCCACGAAGCACGAGCATACCGTGATTACCACGCTATAATCCGTATTTAATTATGAACGTCGATAACACAGAAAATGCTTTACTCCGCTAACACACAATCATATGCACAACGCAGGGAAGTTAAAAGCAAGTAGTCTCAAAGTCTGAAATCCAAGACTGATCCGAGACCGCTCGCAATATTAGGAATAACTCAAGCTTATATAGACTAGAAATGCTGTACATCAGAATACATCGCTAAGCCATAACGAGTAACGAATCACAGACTAGATGGAACGATAACCACTTCCGGTTGTACTTGCAGGTAAAGGCGGACAGTCAGTGGATGCACGGTGGAATCCCTCGTACGTACTCCTCCACACGTCACTGGTAAGATCTACCTATGCATGTGTTTGCAAAAGCAAGTTGCCCGCTGCAGACAGATTACCAACCAGGCAACTACGCAGTCGGCAAGCATACGTGTTTAATACTTGTATCTACATACGTTTTATAGTTTCCGCAAGCAGGATTATACTGCATATGCCGCAATGTCTAGCCAACTGTTATTCTGGGATATCGAGAACGCCAACATTCCATGGCGAAGGTCATTCAGTTGGTGCGTGGATCACCTGCGGGATTTAGCGGAGGAACGTGGCTTTGTTTCATCATGTCGTATGCGTATAGTTTGTGGTGGTTCACGCTGCTCGGAAACCGTATGCTTTTATGGCCATAGTCGAAAGCTCTGTGATCCTGATACAGAGGACTGCTGGGAGCCTAACGAATGGTATCCCACAACGGAGAACGGTGAGAACTCTCACTTATTAATGGGGGTGTTCGTGTTTTGTTAAGGAATATGTCACGTACCCACGCTGTAAGGTTTAAAATAACTTGGTGCAACACCACTCTTCGTTCAATAATCCTAGTACTCGTAATCATTGGACTTTACCGATGGTCTGCAACCAGCTGTAATAGAACTTGATTGTCTTTATCGATGTACTGGGCCATGCAAGGTAATACTGCCAAAACACCATGGTCGCTGCATTTCTTCTAATTTTTTGTCCCGTTTTGCTGCTCTATAGTAAGAAGTCAAGCGAGACTGATCTAGGTGTCGAACTCTTATGTGGATGGATGACACAGAGTGACAATCAAACAGGCAGACCTTACAGAAACAATGCTGACAACATAATTGTGGCGAAGATACAGAATTCCATTAACGAACTAAAGCGGCATTCATCGCAGACGCTAAGACTATTACGCGCAAAATTCATGGTGTTCACAAGTAAGAAGTTATTTTTGCAACATTTTTAGATTTCTCTTGAAATCCCTCGTGATCTTTATGATGAAATTCGCTGATGTATAGCAGCTGTGCTTGTCACTTGATCCTTCGTTGCTCTGAGCATAATATCGCCCAAAGAGTGAGAATGTTTTCTGTCACTGGTGTAGAAGACCAAAGACTGCAGGGGAATGTTGAAAATTTGGGAACGGAGGACATTGCGGTTATGGCGATGGATCCCAATTTCGATGGGATACGGGCAACGGGTCACACTTCGAACTCCGCAAATTTTCAGGCTGGCCAACTCGTACAAAACGATAACGAAGAAATCGCAGTCCCGAGCTGGCTGCAGACCGCTGGTAAAATCGCCTTAGCAGCCGGGCTACTTGGTGTTGGGGCGGTGGCCGTCAGTGCTCTGCTGAACGGCCAGCAAAGGCCCGTGCGACTTTTCTGGGACATCGATAACGCACGGTGCGCCATTCCGGCCAATGGAAACTGGCAAGGCTGTATCGCGCATTTACGCGGGATCGGTCGTCAGCAGGGAGTGGATCTGGATACGACCTACGGTATCAAAGTCATCTGTAGAGGATCCGGTGGCGGCTGTACATACCAGCGGTGCGTGCATGCCAGTACAATGTGTGACTTGCAAACTCAGATAAAATGGAGAGCTGGTGCAGCACAGTCAACCACGATGGAAGGTCAGTAGATTCAGTTCGGAACTCGGCCGTTATTTTACTGTCCAGTTATTTAGGTAATACATGACCAATATATTCTGCGTTCTTACCGGCATCTGCGTGCTTCAAAATCGAATGTTAATAAAACCGGCTTATGCACAGTGTACTGCTACTGTTCGACAGGCGTTCTTCTGCAATGTGGTTGCGATGGACGGAACGACAGTAACAGCGCGGATGACCGCTTTGTCGAGCAGCTGACGGTGATATTTTCTGCCACATCGGCCGGGATGAACATCATCCTTGTGACAGGTACGTTAGGCCGCAACTGTTAGGAGTGATTTGTTTGTTTTTCTTTTCGGGGAAGACTGTTTTCCAGAATGAACGGCACTGAAAGCGGCGTATTCAGTGGAGTCTGTATTCGAGAAAGGTCAATTATTAGTTCACTGAACTGCTTTACGTATATCGTGTTTCTTGGCGCGATTTGCTTACTGATTTTACACTTTTGGCGTACTTGTGGTTTTATTTATTACGCGCTCCAGCGACTTCCGGCTGGTAACCAAAACGGGCTTTTGACGTTCGATTGTAGCGCAAATGGCGACATTTTCGGTTAAAATCACTGATATTATATTTGATTGCCTTTAAGTACGTACTAAAGGCTGTGTTTTGAATGGAATTTATTCCAGAAAATCGGATCTTGCGCGGTCGCGCGGCCAGGACTGTAAACGTTCCGTACACACAAAGAATTATTTTTCATCCGGCTAATCCCGAGGATCCAGTGTGGCCGCTAAGATTCGATCCCTTCCCGCCTGGCGGGCCCACTGCTGGACGTAGGGGAGAGGAGTGTGTAATTACGTGAATGTCGGAACATCAAATAAATTGAATAATATCCGTATTGCCTTGCTGTGTGACACCAGCGCAGTTGATCGCGCTTCAATAGATGACCAACTGTACAGAAGCCTGTGATTTTACTTCTTTATCTTTTTACGATTTTTGACAGCACTGTTGTCATTATTACGTATTTTAGCCTAAACTCATGACAGTTCAATTTCACCAATCGAGTGTGTACTACGTAAGTACTAATATGTTCGTATACCATGTGCATTTGCAAGTTATAAAGTGGACTACAACATTTCGCACCAATCCCTTACGCTACAGAAATTTATATAAGTATTAGATGCGCATTACATAAATATTATTTCTACATTATATAAAATATAAATAGTAGATGTGTGGTAATAAAAATATTCCGCACCAACGATCAAGTCAATCTAGTGAAAGATTCCCGAAATATACTGTAACATTATGAACCTTTCGATACCGGCACAGCAACTGATCCCGCCGCTTTTCCTGCGCTTTAAATTGGTCTGTCACCCGTCGAGCTTGCAGGCGCAAAGTTTTCCGCTGATTCTTCATCAACATCATTGGTTTAACGTCATACGTTGATCACGAATCATGATCAACTGCGAAAATTTACAGTTCGACCAATGCTACTACGTATTATTAATATTAATTTTACAATTTTACAACAAATGAAAAATTCGACATTAAGCATCAGCATAATATTATACTGCATTAAGTATACTGCATTAAGTACATTAAGCATAATATACTGCATTAAGTGGCAAGTCCAGCTGGACAGGATGCTTCTCCACATTCGCCACAAGCTTTTCCAAGCGGCAGTTCCAGGCATCGGAGTCGCTCAGCATCTGCGCTGCCTGGACAGACATGAAGCCATCTTACTTCCGGTATCATTCCACTGTCTATGGAGTCGGTTCTTTTAGAACGATACATGTGAGGGCCGCGGCGGATGCGATGCCGGTCTTCTTTATCAACTTTACGATTTCGCAAGTGCTGTGTTATTACAGCTCTTGTGATCCTATGAACATACTGCTATTGACTACTTACACTCGTATTAAATTTTTTTATATAAATACCTGTAATGTGCGCAAGCTTCATTTTCCAGATATAAACAGATATGTAATAGAAAGTATGCGATGAAAAACGATTAATTCTACATTTATATCTACGACTCGTACGCACATTTCATATTATTTTTATGCCTGTGCTTCACAACGCTGGATGAGAGAAAACCTTAGCTATTACAACACAAATAAACATTTAGGCAACAGATAAAAACAGTACGGAAAACATGGCAATATTCAAAAATTAATCAAAGAGAAAAGTAAACAATATGACTGCTCGTATTACCTACTATTAACTTTCCATGCAGCAGACAGTTTAAAAAACCACCGGTTACCAGTGCCAGTCGCAAGCGTTAAACGACATTATCCAGGCGGATGTCGATATTCTTTTTGTAGTGGGCAATGTGGCCTTTGCCCTGTGCTGTCGCATGCAGGATGTTGTTCCGATCGATACTGTACGTCACATCAAACTGGCATTCTCCCTCCTTTCGCGGGGGCAAATCAGGAATGGAAAACTGGCCAATGCGGAATTTGTCCAGATTGAATCCGCGTTTACTCTGAAAGACAGGAAAATCCACGGTAGTCTGATAGTCGTAGGCTGTCCAGATAACCTCTGTGACACTGGTAGGATACGCTTTTCCTCGGGGGATCAGGTCGCAAATCCGCATGCTGCCAGGTCGCAGTTTGTCCACAACCTCCAGCCCGTAGTGGTAAGCGGTCACTTCCTGGACGTTGGTGGCCTGGCGGTTGTTGATGCGATACGACTGCATAGCCGCCCCTCGCGCAATGGCCTCATCCGGATCGGCGTCCGCGCACATCACTCCTTCCCGACCGAAAAACACCTGCAGCTTCTCTTTAACGACCGGCAGCCGACTGCTCCCGCCCACCAAGATGACCTTGTCGATATCTTCCGGGGACAAGTTAGCGGCCTCCAACGCACTTTTAACACGGACCAGGATCTTCTCGAAAAGACCGCGAAGCATTCCGCCGAAAGTCGCCTTCGTCAGCACCACATCGTAATCAAAGTCATCGCGCAGTTTGTGCACCGTCTCCCGGTATGTGCCGAAGTACGGGCTGGACAGCGCGATCTTGGCCTTCTCGGCAATCAGTTTCAGTTTCGCCAGGGCTCTGCTATCAAGCGCCAGATCCATACTGTAACGTCGGTTAATGTCATCAAGGAAGTACTGAACAATCTCGCTGTCGAAGTTTTCCCCGCCCAAATACATGTCGCCGTCGGTGCTGAGGACGCGGTACTCGTTGCGGCCCTCCACCTTCATAATGCTGATGTCCAATGTTCCGCCTCCGAAGTCGAACACCAGAATGGTGCACTTCTCATCCACGACGCCGCCGTAGGCGATGGCGGCGGCGGTCGGTTCGTTTAACAGACTGACGTCTTTGAATCCTGCCAGGCGGGCGGCGGTCAGCGTGGCGGCGCGCTGAGTCTCCATGAAATTGGCCGGGATGGTCACCACCGCGGAAGTCACTTTGCTGCCCATGAATCCCTCGGCCATCTCCTTCAGATACGATAGCATGGTGGCGCTCACCTGCTCCGGACGGATAACCTTTTGCCAAATCACGTCTCCTGCATCACTGCACTGCTCCACCTGAGAATGAAAGTCAGCTGGCTGTAATAACCAATAAGGTATAAAGCGAAGAGAAACAAATACACGCTTCCACGAATAAAAATGCCAAACGCGTTCATAAGTCATTGTTGAATATACGGGCAGTAGCCACTAGCCAGTAGCCTTCGATCCACAGCAACTGCATTTTCAGACTAATTTTCGCAAAAAAACTCTACAAACAAGTGGTGGAAATACTATTCGTGTAGCGTAGTACTGAAACTAACCGGACGATTTTCAGTTCTAAAAATTAATACAGTAATAAGATCTAAAAAAACAATGCTGTCTTTTCAAAAACAGGTGATGTATTTTCTGTAGTACTGTTTTACATGGATGAGACGTAAAGGTATCCGTCAAAAACGCAGAATCACTCACTCGTATCGCAGGGGATCCGTTGTCGTCAACAATCGGGAACGGCATCAGACTGCGCTCCATGATCACAGCGGGATCGTCAAATCTGCGTCCAATCAGGCGTTTGGCATTGCGCACGGTGTTACGGCTGTTGTCGGGACTCATTCGCTTGGCATGCTTCCCAACATCCATCCCGTCCCGCTCCAGACGGACCCAGGAGGGTGTGGTGGTGTCGCCAGCCTTGTTCTTGATCACCTGCGGACTGCGGCCGTGTTTGTACACATACAGACAGCAATGCGTCGTTCCCAAATCGATGCCAACTCCGTCGGCCATGCTGTTGTTCGTTGACGAGCTTTCAGTACAAAAATGATGGACTGAGGAATGAAGAAGCAGGAACCATCAATAATTAACCCGGAGTATGTAAATTATTAAATATACCGGAAGTTTAAATGCAAAATAAACTGCAGAATTCGATTTGTTTTCAAAGTTAGTGCGGCGCGAAAACTCAAAGATGCCACAACAGGCTGATGGAGAATGATTCAACGCGGAAGTGAGAACTCGCACTCAGCAGGGTGTGCTGTATGTACAACTAGGTCGTACAGTCCTCTCGCGCGGTCAACGCACCACTGTATGTAAGTAAGTTCAGTAAGGTACTTATTCCAGGGTTTTCATGGCGAAGTTGGTGAGCCATTGTCTGAGAGGCTGTCTGCTGCCTGCAGTCTGCGCTCAACGATCTGCGTTATGTTTCTCAAAATTAGTAAGAACTACGAAGTCCCCCAGTAACTACTTACTCCTCTACATTTTAGAAGTTTACAGCTTACTTGTCCGCAGTTCTGCAGCTGGAAGGAAAAGAGCTTCCCTATCGTATCTCAGTCTTCTTAATTTATTTTCTACAGTACGGTAAACTCAGCGGGTAACGACCGATTTACCCATTACTATTAGCACGATTTTAGCTGTTTGTAATCTGTTCAGCCGGGTTAATGACTGATCTGCTCCCAGAAAAATGAACGGATTACGGTTGGGAATGGAAATCGGATTCAAGAAGATCTCGGTGGCGCTGTACGAGAACGGTGTGCCACGCGTAATCTTCAGCTTCCCATCAAGCGCAGCCTGCAGTATTGATCGCACCGAATGGCATTTTGGGACGAATGCTTGCAGCTATTTAGACGACGCGCACTACGAAAACATCCCATCGGTTAAACACACGCTGCTAGCTCACAACTACGGTCCGAAGAATCCGCTGGTACCCTGTTACTGGAACGTCTCTTCGCGTACATCAAGATGATCGGGGAAAATGAACGGAAGCAGAGTCTGCGAGGCGTTGTTGTCGTTTTATCGCATGGCCTGGATGGTAATTACGAGATGCGTCAACTTGTGATGGACGCCTGGCAGAAGAACAACGTGCCCGATGTGATGTGCATCTCCGACATATCGGCCATTCTGCTGGCCTACACCGTGCAGACACTGGACCGGCAATCCATCAACACCGACGCCACAGAACCAGTTTATCTCTTGATGTGCAATGCGGATTCCGAACACTGCCGGGTGGAGTTCTTCGAGGTGATCAGCAACAGCCACGTGATTAAAATCCACAATAACTGTGTGCTGTGGGATTGTTTCGCCGATATACGGCGGCGCGTTGTTGCTGCGATATACGAGCAGCTGTTGAGTGCGGGGATGCCGGAAGTGAATCAGCGGGCGCAGCTGGAGGAGGAGTGCTGGAGCCAGATGGCGGTGTTTGACGATTCCCTAACCGACAAGGTGACCATTCGCGCCCCGTTTCACCAGTATGCTGTGACGTGCACACGGGGCATGTACCACGCGGTGGCGGCGCCAGTCATCGACGCCATCCGACAGCGTGTCGTTTCGGAGTTGGGGCGATTCGGGATAATGGACGCAAACACCGGGAACATCAACGGGAAAGTGGAGCTGCTATTGGTGGGCGAGAATTCCCGGTTGGGGCTGTTGCGCACCGCGTTGGAGAGGATAACGAGGAGCCAAGTGATTTCCGGAGCGGCGAGTTATGTTGACGATGCGGAAGCGTTTGGTGCGGCGATTGCCAGCAGTCTGGCGGGGAACAGCACGCATATCTTCAGCAAGCATCTGATCTTCCGTTTGCAGGAGGGAGTAGCATTCGATATAGACAAGATACTGAAGACACTGCCGCTGCATGACGCGAGCGTTGACCTGATGCAACCGGCGCGGGATATTTTCATTAGTGACCGTCAGGATGTTTTCCTGATCGGGGACTTGCACATGGGTTACCATAAAAAGCCCGTTATCATTCCCGGCTTTCGCCTGGTATTGTCCTCTCCGAAGATAGGAAGCTGCAAAGTGCATTGTATTAGCCTGGAATGCAGTGTTGACGATCAATCGGTGACGTTCATGCGGATGCTGCTGGGGAAAGGTGTGCGGATTTCGTGGTGTAAAGGGCGCGATCAAAAGGCCGACGAATGCATCTCGCTTGAAGTCGAGGCGTCCTTTATGTATCGAGCAAACGCTGGCTGGAGTGCTCTTGCTTTTTTTGTGGACAATGCCTTTGCCGGTGCTTACAAGCCGTTTATGGAGGAATATCGCGCGCGGGAACGAGAGATGTTAAATGCGTTTCCTTCTTCAGCTGACGGTAAGCACTGTATACTTATGGGATTGTGTGCAAGAAAAGCTTTTTACTACAGTTATGTTGTAGTAAATGTGATACCTCGCGGCATATGTTTACCACACATAAATATTGATTATTTTTAGCGGACGAATCGTTTCCTAAGTTATCGTGGCCATCATCGTCCTCGTTTGTCGCTCTTGTGTCGGACCAGATTCCGACCAAGTATTTGCATGGCATCCATAAATACCAACGTCATCCAAGCATTGTCACAGTTAATCAGTGTTTCAAGCATGGCCTCGTTGTCGTTATCCAGCAGTGCCAGGAAGTGACGGGAAAGCTGCAAGTGATGGGAAGCGTTTGTTCCATCGAACAGCCGCATAAGATCCACCATGACTCCGCGGAAAGGGATACGATCGTCATTGAACTGACCCCGCAAACTTGTGTTCGCGTCAGCTTTCCCGATGAAGCCACCTGCTGTGACTTTCTTTTAAGATGTTCTATTTTTTGGAAGTGGTGGTGCAAACTGTGACCGGTAGATGAGTGAAAGCCAGTAAAATGTCATTAACTCATTATGTGATACTTGATAAACAAATACTCTAACACAGTGCATCGTCGAGTCATATTTGAGAAATGTTTACACATTGGCAGTAATTTCGCCATTTTGGATCATCTTCCGTCCTTTGACGTTTTCCGGCATGCGTTTAATTAAAATTAGCGAAATATTTTGTAAATAACAAGGCCTAAAAAATCAGTATATCCTAATATCACTAATGCAATCGGAAAATCATAACAAAACTATTCGGTGGGTGTCCCATTAATTTAAATAAAAAAACTCATTCTAAAATGTTTACTCAGTGAACCCAGTCTCAGATTCATGAACTTCTGGTCTATGCAAGCGCATAGTAAATTGAGAATGCTATAATTTTGAAACTCACAAACCAGTTAAGTAAGTAATCATAGGTACTCGCAATTCGCAAATTTAATCGTTTATTCGAACATCAGGAAAACACAGAAGCAAAGGCATTCTCGTTGCAAACTTGCAAATAAGATTTTAGCGCAACAACCATACTGCACAACCGAAGACAACAAACTACGAAAATTCTCATAAAAACACAATAAAAATTTCCCGGTAGATAGTTATCCAACACTAATCCGTTGACTCCAAAATCGCCGCTCCGTACGCCAAATCCCAGTACTCTTCCACACCGTGTTTTCGCAGCAATTCGCGGGCAGCCTGTTCCGTCGCGCATGCCTGTAAAATAATTCCCGGTCAAGTCACACATGCCAGTGCAACAATTACCATAATAAAATCCGAACAAAATAAAAAAAACATTATTTACTTATATGAAACATAATTTCAAAAACTATTACTCGTAATTCTTGTACTGCCTACTACACAAATACAAAATTACCTTAAACTTAACCGTTCCAAAATAGCGCTTCTTTACACTGCCCTCCCAGTCCCAGACCAGTTCACATAAACGCTGTGGCGAAAGACTATAAACGGTGGCGCTCTCTTCACTCGGTGTTTCATCCTCGCTCCATTTAATCCGATTCAGCATTAAACGCTTGAATTTCTTCTGCTGTTTTGGGCCTGCTGTTTTGGGCCGAACAAAACATGCACATTAGAAAGAAAAATTCGATTATAACGAGAGGCGAAATCGCTTACCTCCTTCGATAATCACAATGTTGAGTTCCTTGTTTAACACCACCACACCGGTCATAAACAGCTGCGTCGCGTTGGTCTCCACTTTGAACTTCTTGGCCGGATGCGACAGATCCTTCACGCGGTAGATGGCCACGTTCACTTCCTCCGTGGTGTCCTCCTTTATCTTCTTGATTTTCTTGGCGCGCTTCTCGGTTTCGGTTAACTTCCGCTGTGCATTGGCTGTTTCGTGGGCCCTGTCAAGTAACAAAACAAAAATTAGAAGGACAATTTAGAGCACGCAACATCTATTCAAAACAGTGTATCCGACTGGCTGTGACAAAATTGTGTACAAATAAAAAGGAAATATTCGCAAATCAAATAAACGTTACTTATTGCTGATGTGAATCATAAATTTATTGCAAACAGCTTGGCACTGTGGCACAGTCTGTCAGATCAACAACTCTCAGAGACCAAAACTTATCACTTACCCACCACGGTAACGCCAGTACATCGTTAAAGGTAAATGTATCAGCTGACTCCTTGTGGACCTGCTACCGCCCACAGAATCGGTGGGGTACCTGGGGGACCGGCAGTCAGAATTTTTCCTTCCCGAAAAAAATTTTAAAAAATGGTTTCTAGATCAGAAAAATTCGCTGATTATTAATACGTCGTCTGATTTGACTTAAAAAAATAGTACATGGTCGATGGGGGTCTCGTGTAGCCCCTGCTTGTGGTTATGAATTACACTACTGAATTACATTACCTTGTGGTTCCTTGTGGTTAAGTGACAAGTTTTGGTCACTGGTCTCTTTAAGAAAACTATGCAAAAATATTTTTCAAAACATTATTAAATTTATACCAAAGTCACAATGTATTCATTCATTTTTTCAACACCTTTATACGAAAGTCAAGCGACAAATTTCTGGAAGTAGTCAGCCAATTCTCTAAATTTATCAGCACCTGAAATTTACAACAAATAATTCCATCAAGCCAAAATCTGCAATCAAATTTCCAATATTCACTTGCAATTTATAAACCAGGTTTACAAATTTCAGACCAATCCATTTTAGAAAATATTCACCGTCAATTAAATTATTCAAATAAAATAACAGCCAAAAAAGCTTACAACCTTACCTTTTGGTTCTGGCGCAGCGATTAATCCGATTCGCTGCTTTTCCTGTTCCTCTTTTAGCTTCTCCGGCGAGCTTGCCGGCGCAACTTCTTCCGCTCATTCTTGGTTAACATGATAGGTAACGCCACCGGTTTATCACGATCAACTATAAAACACCATTCACAATTCCACAAACGTGTTTCATTATCAAAAATCCTAAAAAGTAATTCAGTTTTAATTGACTTACTCTGCGGTGCCAACTGGACGGGATGCTCCACCAGCTTAGTCACCAGCTTCTGCAAGCGGGATTCCAACTCCACCGCATCGGCGTCGCTCAGCATTTCCGCGGTCTGGGCAAACACGCCGTCCCACCATTCCACTTCCGGTATCATTCCGCTATCCACCGAATCGGTTTTCTTCGGGGCGACACGTGTCAGAAACGCGGCGGATGTAATGCCGGTTTTCTTGGCTGCTTGGGCGATGTCGCTTTTGCAGTTTCTCTAACTGAGCCTACAAAAACAATGGATTTGATCCAACATGTACAAGAAAGTCAAAACTCTACAATGGCAACAAAAGAGTCATCAATCTGATTCTATAATTTTCAAATTACTTGCATACAGAATTTTCTAATTAAACCCAATTAAAACGATAAAAATATACGTGAAACCATAATATTACTAAACCTTAAGGTATTCCATCGACTTGCGTGACGTCACGTTATGATAGACGCACAGGGCAACGCAGTGGGCAACCACTGCGGGTTCGGTGTCCATTAAACCTTTCAAATTCATGCAGTTCCTTCGTGTTATGGCTCAAAAAATGCAGAAAAAAATTTGAAGTTTGGGAAGTGGAAGTGGGCAAGTGAAACGTTGTCAGGAAAACGAAGATTTTCGGATTTACGTTCTTATCCTTAGCATAGAGGTCTATGTGGTGGTTTGCCCTGCTGATCGAAAATCGAAGGATTTTCGACTTGTAATCAAACGAAGCTACTAAAACCTGATCAGCCAAAACAAAGCAATTAAAATTTGATCAGTTAAACAAAGGCATCAAACAATTTAGTTTTAAACTTTTAATCAAAAGAAGTGATTTTTGGTCAGCATAGTGGTCTATGGCAAACTGCCTCATAGACCTTCATGGTAAACAAGATTTACTTTAATCGTAAGCGTCTCGTTTTCCTGACATTATTTACTTGTCAACCTTCACTTCTCAAGCTTCAAATTTTTTTCTGCATTTTTTGAGCCATAGTATGATCAGATTGGGCGAATTTGAAAGTTTTTATAAACACAAAAGCCGCAGGGGTTGCCCACTTTTCGCACAGTGCGCTTCATCTACCGTGACGTCATCGTACAAAGTGCAGGCTCGATGGAATACCTTAAGGTTTAGTAATATTATGGTGAAACATATCAACGGCAAACAATAACGATCTGCAATATCTGTACCACATTTATCTGTAGATTTCCTAACTATGACAGCAGCAACAACCGCCATCAACTCTTGAAAATCAAATATCACTTTTTCACAAAGGTAACGCTGGACTACTACGCCCAGCCCGTGATGCGACTCCCCGTGATGCGATTATAATTATACAATATGACAATGGTATTTACACAAATCAATAAGTAAATGCGCCTAACCTCAAATTAAAAATCAATAAACCGAAACATAACAGAAGTTTTAAATTTATAATTATGGTTTTCTGATTAAACTTTAATCCGTGCTACAGATAAAACTCATGACAAGCCGACAAGATATCGACAAATCTTACCTTAGCGCGCAACATCGTGCCCTGTTTGACGAATGTGCCTTTATCGTGGAACTCGAAGACCGCTGGCTTGGCCCTGGTTGGCGCTTTGACGGCCACGCGATTATCGTAGAAATCCGGCTGTTCATCGCGCACTTCATCGGCCACTTTGTCCTGGACGGCTTTGAAATCCTCCCGTTTCTTGTTGCGGATGTTGGCCTTCAAAGTGGGGCCACGCTGCTCCAAAGTCACCGCCTTTCCCGTCACCAGATCGATGGTGCGGCCTTCTGAATCGAGGATCAACGGGCCGGGCGCGGAAGGAACGGCTGCCGCAGTGCTGGGAGCGGATAGTTTAGGAAATTCACCTGCCAATAAATGCAAAAAAAAACGGTTAATTACAATAAACTAAATTTTTGAATTTAATCGTACCTGCTTAACTAAGTGGTGGCATGGCGAGTCGTGTAGCGCAGAATTGGTTGCCTCTGTTGGACGATTGTGTTTTTTATTTAGACAGTTATTATTCGCAGTTACATACGAAGGCGAAAGAAACCCGTACCGGTCATAAATGCAGAACTTCAGAAGCACTGACTCGTATTCGCAATTCGCAGGGGATCCGTTGTCGTCAACAATCACGAATGGCATCAGACTGCGCTCCATGATCACAGCGGGATCGTCGAATCGGCGCCCAATCAGGCGTTTGGCATTGCGCACAGTGTTACGGCTGTTGTCGCCTTGTCGGGACTCATTCGCTTGGCATGCTTCCCAATATCCATCCCGTCCCGCTCCAGGCGCACCCAGGAAGGTGTCCTGGTATCACCAGCCTTGTTCTTGATTACTTGCGGACGACGGCCGTGGTTGTACACGTGCAGACAGCAATGCGTCGTTCCCCAAATCGATGCCAACTCCGTCGGCCATGCTGTTGTTTGCTGACGAACTCCAGTACAAAATGCTGGGTTGAAGATTTAAAATGCAGGAACTGAGAAACTCTTAACCCGGGGGTATGTAAAATCAAAAATGTACCGTAAAAGCAAAATAAACTGCAGAATACAATTTGTTTTCAGAATTACTCGTCCTTATTCTACAGAGCACACGGCGTGAAACCTCAAAGGTCCCGCAACAGGTTACAGGTTGATGGAGGAAAGATGCAGCGCGGAAATGAGAA